TCTTTCCTTCATTGGCAGGCAGAGCCAAATGCAGTCTCTGCTGTCAGCAATATGGAAATGGCGTTATAAACTGACTTTAACAGCTCGCTGAATAAGCCTGCTTAATTTGATTTTGTGTGTGCGTACAGACCCCACCACCATGGTGGAGCTTTGGAAGGAGTCGCCCCAGGGCTTGGTCAAAGAGGGGGATACTGTGGAGCTGCGTTGCCAGGGTGATGGCAACCCCCCACCGCACTTCATTTTCAACAAAGTAGAAGTAAGAATGGACGGCCTTTTCTCACCCTGCAAGTCCCAGAGTGAGAATGGGTGACACACAAGAGACATGTAGGGAATGTTTTTGATATGCATAGCTCACAGGGACCCATGTAGACATGAGTGTGCAAGGTCTATGAAGACCCTGTCAGCTCTGACCCTGCAGGTCCAGGCTGGGGTCTGAGACCAGAGGCCACAATGACAGGGCTCATGGGTAGGACTCATTCCCATGTCAGACACGCACTCATTGTACGTATAGACAATGCAAAACCTCAGCTCAGCCGAATTAAGAAAAGTTGAAGTGGCAGTCAGGGTTTTTTATTCCCGTTGTTGACTTAGGCACATAAGAGTAATTGGAAAAGATTTTTTTTCTGAGAAAATAAAGAAAAGTTTTTCCATTTTGTTAAGTCATCATCGAGGTTACATGATTTATTCACACAGTAACAGCTAAAAACTCAGACAAGATGGTAAAAACATGATGTCAGTCAAGCCGTTTGAAGTGTGGAACATCAATTGAATGATAAATAGACCACTCTTTTGTTACAAGATCCTTACTGCACTGTCCTGATCATACTAGTATTTAAGAAGATGAAACAAAAATTTGTGTTCTTGACTCTAGCCAATTTCTGGAATTTCAGATCAAATGATCTTAAAAAGTTTTAATAACTCACCCCATCACTTTTTAATGTCCATAAGACCTTTCATGATGTATTAACAGTTGTATCATAGCTGTATACAGAACGTTTTTGCACTGTAATGAATAATGCAACAGACATTATGTGCCTTTTAGTTTTGCTTTCTCGTACGTACACTTGGTAATTGTCTGGCCATATGTGCCTATTATTAATGGACTCACACATAAATAGTGGGTGACTTTGTTGTTGTCCCTTCAGAAGATTTTGGTAAAGTTGGACAAAAAAAATCAACTCTTTGTTGTAAGTGGCTGTCAGTCTAAGATAGCAGGTTACAAGAAAGGATCTGCTTTTAATTCATCAAATATTTGTGCTTAAAGTTACTAATTTTGAGTCTGTCTTTGGTCGTTCTCTAAGAGGACACAAAAGATTACTTGATTCTCTAGAGGATTGAGGAAACTCTTTGCCAACCACAGATTCTGTTTTTGATAGATAAAAGTCGATTACTGCTTTTTTACTTCCTGCCAATAATATTTTCAATTAGGTATTTATCTTTTTTTTTTTAAATCAAGCCCAAATATGTTACAGTGAAGTCAAAGGCAAACTATTATTACCTGTTATTGCTTTTACACCAAAGTAAAATGTATTTAGATGAAAATTAAAATGAAAGTATTTGTTGCAGGAGCCTGATGTGAATTTCGAGAGCAGTAGGGATATGTTGATCCTGTCATCAGTGTCACGGAAAGATAGCGGCACCTACCAATGTCACCCTCTGAAAGACGACGGCGTCATGGAAGTCAAAGGAGAAGTGGAGCTCAAAGTGCATTGTAAGGAGCAACTTGATATGAATGGCATACATACTTACATATAGGAGGAAACAGCTTTGTACAAATGAAAGTTTACTAATAATTCTCAGGTTTCCCTCTAAACGTAAAGACTTTCTTTCTCTAATTTTAAATATTTTTTTCTTATATTATAGTAAGAAGCTCTGATGTTGATTTAAACTTGACATATCCTGTATTTACCACAAAGTAAATCTTTCTGCTTCTGCTAGAAAAAAGGCTTTTATTTTTAATTCTGTGTATTTTGTTCTACATGTTTTCTTCATTGCTGTTTTGGGGTTTTTTGGGGGGATGTTAAGCTGCTGTTACTATTAAAACTTCAAAGCTGCCCAACAGCTCAATGGACGTAATTCCTACCTGTCAATGCAGCCTTTTGAGTTTTGCATTTCTGTTAATTGGCAAGATTGGCTTGCATATTTTTTGGTTCAAAACCAAGTTTAATTCACAGATTCTTTTACTCTGTTAATTACAGCCTGTTTTAAACTGTGTTTTCACATATCTTGTTTTGTCTCTTTTTCTTGTGTCCAGATTTGGATACAGCCGTTGTGGTACCAAAAGATGAAGAGTTAATGCACAAAGGAGAAGATCTGACTGCAACCTGCAATGCTCTGTCCTCCCGCTCAACATCTACTGTCTGGTACAAGGTATGAACCTTTAAAACACAACACTGAGTTTACAGCTGCTTCCTTTGATCAGAGTAAAAAAGAAAGAAACAGAAGTAAGTAAACATCACTCCTGTTCTACTTCTCCTTGAAGGGAAGATACATTTCTGCGACTGTTCCAGTCTATTTAATAGATGAGATGATGTTTCTGTAGTAGCCACAGTGGATTGACCAGCTATCATAGCCTTTTGTATGTTTGTGCACCTTTTCTGTGGATATGTATAGGATGGGAAGGTGGTGGGTCGAGGGAACACGTTCCACCTGCAGAATGCCACCTATGAAAGAAGTG